ATAGTAAATGCTCCATTTAGATTCTCTTATAAATTGGATAAATAAAAATTAGAGAACTTTGTATTTCGTAAAAAAGCACATTATATTAAATGACAATTAGGCAAATAATAATTTTGATGATATAGAAATTCGTAAAATTTAAGAGTAGAGTCTATTACAAATTTGACATTATTTAATTCGACATAATAATCATTCGCACTTTTCATTTTGAGATAAATGTCTGCAACTCTTTGCTTTTTTACCCGAAAATTTTTAGTTTTTCAAAACATAAATTATTATGCTAAAAAGCACATGCCGAGCACAATTTTTTTTGATAAGTATAAACTTCAACACATAAAATGAGTTTTTTCCCCACAGTTCTCAGTATTTAAAAAAATGAATTTGATCAAAATTAACCACATGTCGCGCATAATATTTTTTTCAAAAATTATAAATTTACTAATCTAACTTCCTCGCCATATAAAATAATAAATTAAATCTTTAATTTTACTAAAATAAAATGTACCTGAATGAATCGTCGAACTAAAATATTTACCAAATTTATTACGTTTTCTTCTTCAAAATTCTTTATTTTGTTTTTGCTTTTTTTATTTTATTTTTTTGTTATTTTTAAAATAACAAAGAATTATTTAATTTAGATGTATACTTTATTTTTTATACAAAACAACTCGGAAAATGACATGACAAACATTTTGTTAAAGCAACCATTTTACTTTGTGAGAACTTTTGTAGACCCCGTAGAAATGCGTAGAATGAAGATGATAAAGGTTGAGTTACGTATTATTAAAGTTTTTGCTTAGAGTTGCAGACATTTATCTCAAAATGAAAAAAACGAAAATTTATTAGGTCGAAATCACAAATTTTCTAACCTCTATTTATCCGATTTATAAGATAACCTAAATGTCATTTACCATATTTCTTATTCGTTATAAATGAGATGTGTTCTAATCATTAATTATCATAATTTCTTTATTTTCGAATTTAATTCTAACCTAAATATTAAAATCACTAATTGTAAATTAGAGTAAAAAAAATTACGTCAAATATGCATTTCAACTGATCTTCATAGCATCAAATTATTATTTAAAATAAATTTTACTTAATGGAATTTCAATAACTTATAATTTACATTGTATCTAATTTTGGTTTAATCGAATAATTAGAACACATCTTATTTATAACGAATAAGAAATATGGTAAATGCTCCATTTAGATTCTCTTATAAATGGATAAATAAAAATTAGAGAATTTTGTATTTCGTAAAAAAGCACAGTATATTAAATGACAAGTAGGCAAATAATAATTTTGATGAAATATAAATTCGTCAAATTTAAGAGTAGAGTCTATTACAAATTTGACATTATTTAATTCGACATAATAATCTTTCGCACATTTCATTTTGAGATAAATCTCTGCAACTCTTTGCTTTTTTACCCGAAAATTTTTTCAAAACATAAATTATTATACTAAAAAGCACATGCCAAGCACAATTTTTTTTGATAAGTATAAACTTCAACACATAAAATGAGTTTTTTCCCCACAGTTCTCAGTATTTAAAAAAATGAATTTGATCAAAATTAACCACATGTCGCGCATAATATTTTTTTCAAAAATTATAAATTTACTAATCTAACTTCCTCGCCATATAAAATAAAAAATTAAATCTTTAATTTTATTAAAATAAAATGTACCTGAATAAATCGTCGAACTAAAATATTTTCCAAATTTATTACGTTTCTCTTCAAAAATTCAAAAATTCTTTATTTTCTTTTTGATTTTTGTATTTTATTTTTTTGTTATTTTTAAAATAACAAAGAATTATTTAATTTAGATGTATACTTTATTTTTTATACAAAAAAACTCGGAAAATGACATGACAAACATTTTGTTAAAGCAACCATTTTACTTTGTGAGAACTTTTGTAGACCCCGTAGAAATGCGTAGAATGAAGATGATAAAGGTTGAGTTACGTATTATTAAAGTTTTTGCTTAGAGTTGCAGACATTTATCTCAAAATGAAAAAACGAAAATTTATTAGGTCAAATTCACAAATGTTCTAACCTCTATTTATCCGATTTATAAGATAACCTAAATGTCATTTACCATATTTCTTATTCGTTATAAATGAGATGTGTTCTAATCATTATTTATCATAATTTCTTTATTTTCGAATTTAAATCTAACCTAAATATTAAAATCACTAATTGTTAATTAGTGTAAAAAAATTACGTCAAATATGCATTTCAACTGATCTTCATAGCATCAAATTATTATTTAAAATAAATTTTACTTAATGGAATTTCAATAACTTATAATTTACATTATATCTAATTTTGGTTTAATCGAATAATTAGAACACATCTTATTTATAACGAATAAGAAATATAGTAAATGCTCCATTTAGATTCTCTTATAATTTGGATAAATAAAAATTAGAGAACTTTGTATTTCGTAAAAAAGCACATTATATTAAATGACAATTAGGCAAATAATAATTTTGATGAAATAGTAATTCGTCAAATTTAAGAGTAGAGTCTATTACAAATTTGACATTATTTAATTCGACATAATAATCTTTCGCACATTTCATTTTGAGTTAAATGTCTGCAACTCTTTGCTTTTTTACCCGAAAATTTTTAGTGTTTCAAAACATAAATTATTATGCTAAAAAGCACATGCCGAGCACAATTTTTTTTGATAAGTATAAACTTCAACACATAAAATGAGTTTTTTCCCCACAGTTCTCAGTATTTAAAAAAATGAATTTGATCAAAATTAACCACATGTCGCGCATAATATTTTTTTCAAAAATTATAAATTTACTAATCTAACTTCCTCGCCATATAAAATAAAAAATTAAATCTTTAATTTTATTAAAATAAAATGTACCTGAATAAATCGTCGAACTAAAATATTTTCCAAATTTATTACGTTTCTCTTCTACAAAATTATTTATTTTGTTTTTGCTTTTTTTAATTTATTTTTTTGTTATTTTCAAAATAACCACATGTCGGGCAAAATATTTTTTTTTCAAAAATTATAAATTTACTAATCTCACATATAAAATAATAAATTAAATTTTTAATTTTATTAAAATAAAATATACCTGAATAAATCGTCGAACTAAAATATTTTCCAAATTTATTACGTTTCTCTTCTAAAAAATTATTTATTTTTTTTTGCTTTTTTTAATTTATTTTTTTTGTTATTTTCAATATAACAAAGAATTAATTAATTTACAGGTATAATTAATTTTTTTTCCAAAAAAAACTGAGAAAATAACATGACAAACATTTTGTTCAAGCAACCATTTTACTTTGTGAGAACTTTTGTAGACCCCGTAGAATTGCGTAGAATGGAGATGATAAAGGTTGAGTTACGTATAATTAAAGTTTTTGCTTTGAGTTGCAGACATTTATCTCAAAATGAAAAAAACGAAAATTTATTAGGTCGAAATCACAAATTTTCTAACCTCTATTTATCCGATTTATAAGATAACCTAAATGTCATTTACCATATTTCTTATTCGTTATAAATGAGATGTGTTGTAATCATTATTTATCATAATTTCTTTATTTTCGAATTTAATTCTAACCTAAATATTAAAATCACTAATTTTAAATTAAAGTAAATAAAATTTCGTTGAATGTGCATTTTAACTAATCTTCATAGCATGAAATTATTATTTAAAATAAATTTTACTTAATGGAATTTCAATAACTTATAATTTACATTATATTTAATTTTGGTTTAATCGAATAATTAGAACACATCTTATTTATAACGAATAAGAAATCTAGTAAATGCTCCATTTAGATTCTCTTATAAATTGGATAAATAAAAATTAGAGAACTTTGTATTTCGTAAAAAAGCACATTATATTAAATGACAATTAGGCAAATAATAATTTTGATGATATAGAAATTCGTAAAATTTAAGAGTAGAGTCTATTACAAATTTGACATTATTTAATTCGACATAATAATCATTCGCACTTTTCATTTTGAGATAAATGTCTGCAACTCTTTGCTTTTTTACCCGAAAATTTTTAGTTTTTCAAAACATAAATTATTATGCTAAAAAGCACATGCCGAGCACAATTTTTTTTGATAAGTATAAACTTCAACACATAAAATGAGTTTTTTCCCCACAGTTCTCAGTATTTAAAAAAATGAATTTGATCAAAATTAACCACATGTCGCGCATAATATTTTTTTCAAAAATTATAAATTTACTAATCTAACTTCCTCGCCATATAAAATAATAAATTAAATCTTTAATTTTACTAAAATAAAATGTACCTGAATGAATCGTCGAACTAAAATATTTACCAAATTTATTACGTTTTCTTCTTCAAAATTCTTTATTTTGTTTTTGCTTTTTTTATTTTATTTTTTTGTTATTTTTAAAATAACAAAGAATTATTTAATTTAGATGTATACTTTATTTTTTATACAAAAAAACTCGGAAAATGACATGACAAACATTTTGTTAAAGCAACCATTTTACTTTGTGAGAACTTTTGTAGACCCCGTAGAAATGCGTAGAATGAAGATGATAAAGGTTGAGTTACGTATTATTAAAGTTTTTGCTTAGAGTTGCAGACATTTATCTCAAAATGAAAAAAACGAAAATTTATTAGGTCGAAATCACAAATTTTCTAACCTCTATTTATCCGATTTATAAGATAACCTAAATGTCATTTACCATATTTCTTATTCGTTATAAATGAGATGTGTTCTAATCATTAATTATCATAATTTCTTTATTTTCGAATTTAATTCTAACCTAAATATTAAAATCACTAATTGTAAATTAGAGTAAAAAAAATTACGTCAAATATGCATTTCAACTGATCTTCATAGCATCAAATTATTATTTAAAATAAATTTTACTTAATGGAATTTCAATAACTTATAATTTACATTGTATCTAATTTTGGTTTAATCGAATAATTAGAACACATCTTATTTATAACGAATAAGAAATATGGGGTGTTTTCGACGTTGACGCTCGGAGTGCTCTGAGAGTGTGAAAAGGTTCTCAACTTGATTTTGACGAGTTTTTATGATTTTTGTGTATTGCACATATGAATTGAACTTAAGATTTTTATACCTAACCTAACACTGGTCGCTTTTCTTCCTTTTGGGTTTTTGTGCTTTTCATCGTTAACACTGCGTAATATTCTTAATTTTTATTTGTTAATTTATCATATTAATTATGGCAGAAAGTCAGAAAAAAAAATAAGAGTTTATATAAACGGGGTTGTTGTGACTGAAGAAAACGAATTAATTAAAAAAGATGATAAAATTTTGTGTGATATCACGAACCTGGATAACAGTAAGTAATATCAATTTTTAACTTACATTCTGTGAACTTCTTTATACATTAATAATCAAATAATATAAGTAAATAAATATTACTTAATTTAAGTCGATTACTTAATTTTAAGAAATATAAAATTTGTAAATATGCTTTTAATCTCAAGGATATTGAATGACATAACCTGAAACTAAAAAATTTTTGAAAGACAAGTGGTTGTAATTAAAAGTATTGTTTATAATAATATATTATAGGATAATAAAGTATAACTTGCTTTTTTTATTAATCAATAATATTTTTAATTAAATATGTACAATTGGTTTTTAGAAGACCTAAGCCATTAGCAGGTCACCAAAAAATCTGTTTTTATATCTTTAATCTGACAATAATAATGATAAAATTAATAATAATAAATGTAATAATAGTAATAAATAAAATAATATAATAATTAAAATAAATAAAATAATATAATAATAAATTATATAAAGAAATAAATAATAATAATAAATAATGTATATCTCAATAGCGTTGAATATTTTTGAATGGGACAAGTTGAGGATCAGAAAATGATTATTTACATCAATTATTGTAGATAGTGTATAATGTGAATTTTTAATTTAATTAATAAATAGGTATATTAATTTTCTTTCAGATCAAAGAAGTGAAATGTATTTAAGCGAAACATTAGTGGCAGAATGGCAAGAAAAAATATTTAATGCTGCTACTGCCGGTGACAATGAAGATGTTATCGAGGCTGAAGCAGGATTCTCAGGAAATGCAGCAGAGGTACCGAGATCCTGCATGAACGAATACAACTTTCCTGAGACACGAACGAGAGACTCAAATAACGCAAAAGAGATATCGAAATCTTATGTAAATGAACATTATAATGATCGTGTGGATGTGGCAAAGCCAGGCCCTTCGGGAAATGCAGCAAAAATGTCAAGATCTCATAGTCAAAAAAAAAAGGGTGATTATAGTAATTTGTAATACCTTTATGTTCTTCCTTTTTTCTTAACACACGTTGCATGGCATGTACTTTTATATAGCTCTTGAGCAAACAAAGGTAGGAAAAATTATTTTTTGCAAAAAAGACATGCAGGTTTCTAGCTGTTAAACATAGAAAAGTACAAAAAATTATTTAATAAGAGAACACAGCCTCCAAAACCAATAAGTTGACACAACATTGGATGCATTTGTTCAAGAATATATGCGATATTTATTGTATTTTGAAAAACTACCTTTGTTAATATTATGAATTTCACTACATGTTTTTATTTTAACTAAAAGTTATGTAAAGTGGAATTTGTATTTTGTAAAAATTTACTTTAAACTTATTTCCATCTACTTTTATTGCTTTCCAACTAAATTATTTTTGGAATATTTCGCAGATGAATCTAATGGAAACGATACGCCTTCTGTCGCCGAAGGTAAGCGGATGTTTTTGTATATATACATGTGATCCCACGAGAAATTAAAAAATTAACTCTTTATCTGAATTACACAGAAAACTTTATAAATAAAGAAAAGGCTTCGAACCCTTTGGTTTATGAAAATGGACATATTTATTACAAGATATTAAAGGCACTATCACTCAATTAATTACTTGAATAATTTATTGATAGAATTACTAAAATTCTAGTATAATTATAATTATTGCATTAATCACTGCTAAATCTAGTGAATATTTTGTCATATGCATTTTTTAAGTATAGTAATTTTTCTTAATTATAAGACAAATTTTTCAGCAATGTATGGCGAAATAATTACAAGATTTTCTAGTAATTCATCCAGTAATTATAACTATTGGAAAGTCAGTAATTATCCCAGTAATTAATCAAGTAATTCTTTTTTGTAAGGGCAGAAAAGATTCTTTTAAAAAATAAATTGAATAAAATAATAGTGCTTATAATATCTATTTTTATAAAACTTTTTTAAATAACAACGTTATTGAAAGAAAATAATTTAATTTTACATGGATCAAAATCAAATAATTTTTTCAACTATATTAATTTTAAAAAATAAGAAAAATGTTTATAACTTATCTTAATCATCTCATCTTCCTGGTTTTTTTTGCAAAAAATTCAAACTTGTTTATTTTGTCGTGGAATTCAATATAAACAATGTCACATAAATATATATATATATATTTTTTTTTTCAATAATTTCTAAAGTATTTGTGTGTATCTATTTCTTTAGCTGATGGTCTGGAATGGACAGTTAAAATGGTTCAATTTTTTGTGGAATCTTATAAGAAACTAGAAGAAAGCAATAAAGGAAAATTTATAAAAATAAGAGCTTACGGTAAAATTTCTACAATGTTCAAGGATAAGTTCGACATTAATATAACAGCGCAACAATTAGAATCAAAAATGAAAGGTCTGCAAAACACGTATAAAAATAAAATGGATGCAAAGAACAAAACCGGCATGGGAAGAGTAGATTGGGAACATTTTGAAGTCATGAACGAATTCATGTTTCAAAAACCGCAAATAACACCAGTATCAACTTCGTCGAGTTTGAATGGTTTTAAGTGTAAAAATTCATCATCGTCATCGGACGAAGATATTTCAACAAAAAAAGAAAAGCCTAAGGACAAGAAGACCAAGCGAGTAAAAAAACAAAGACAAAGATCTCCTCCTCAACAAAGGTTTGTAAATGCGTATGAGGATGGTTTGGAAAGGCGAGACGCTTTTCAAGATAGATTCTTAAAATCTTTCGACAGATATGTCGACATTGTTGATAAAAAATTGAATGAAAAAAAGTAAGATGTGCTATTTAATACTTTTATGTTTAATGTTTGTGTTTGCCATCGTTGGCCATAAATTTTATCAACTCTTTGTTCACTCATTAATGTTAATTCATATTATTAACATAAAGTTTACATAACTTTAAAATAACAGTTAATTTAATGCTTTCTTTTATTTTAATAATTTAAATGAAACGTTTTATTCTATTCAGTAATTTTAAATATTTTTACCGAAATTCGTATGTGATAATATAATACTGTGATTCTCGATATTAATAGGCCAGTACACTAAATTTTTCTAAACAAAAAATGTAGTTTTATGTTATTTTTTTAAAAAATCGGTTTTGAGATTACTATAATTATTCAAAGCCGCAACAATTTGTGATAAAGAGTAATATACTGTAAAAATTTAGTGAACTGACCACTTTAATTGTAATTCCTTCTACGGTAGTCAGAGAAAAAAAGACTTGATATTTTAGTTTAATTGTAAAAGGAAACAGTATTATAAATGAAGAGTATAATGATAAAAAAGGTCAAGCGCCAATTTCTTCGAATTTCTGGTTTTTGCATAAATAAATAAAGTGAATGTCCTTAAACATTTATATAAAAGAATTTTTTTCAGTGCGTATTTAAAGCAATCGTTTAATTATAAAAAAACATCAAATTTAATTACAAAGATAAAAACAATTACAATTAATGATACAAACAAATCGTATAATAATAGTAAAATATATCTCTAAATGCTTTTCCTAAAGTTTTCTTCTCAAAGTACCAGCAGAATCTTAAAATATTTTTTTCGCTTCATGTAAAACACGAAATTGGCGCTTGACTCCTTTTGTCATTCTGTCCTTTAAATAGCATGTTGTATTAATAGGTTTTAAAAGACATTTTTCATTATGAGACTATTATAAGGGACAAATTGTAAAAGGAAAAGGGTGAAATTTACTTTTTTAATGTTGAAAACATTTGTTTGTAACCAAAGAATAAAAATATTTTTATTCAAATTGACATCTTCAATTTTTTATTACATTACAAGACCGAAATATTTTCATTTATCATATGTAAATAAAGTAATTGATAATTTTCTATACGAGGAAGATGATAAAATAAATTATATTAATATGTTGATGAATATTTTCCTATATTTTATAAATCCATAAAGTGATACAATATTTAACTGATTGTGCTCAAAATTTAGTACAGATACATAATTTTACTAGTAAATTTTGTAAGAGATGTGAAAAATATTATTTGAAGTAATTATAAAAAGAGTTTTCAATGAAAATATAAGGTTTTTTGAAAAAATTTTAAAGAACCTGTACTTCTCTTTAAATAATGGAATCTTTGAGATCACTTTGGATGGACACGGCTCATTTTTATCAAACATTGGTTGTTGTATAGTATTTGATTACTAATTATATGTTATTTTATTATTTTATTTCATTTTATTTTATAAAAAATACATGTGTTGTGTAACATTTGTGATAGTCTTACTATTAGTGAGACTATTGAATCATACTATTTCGGTAAAAAATTATATTCTACAAGTCGCAGAAAAAAAATTGAATCATTTCTTCCTGTTTGCTTTCTTCGTTTATACATATAAATGGCAATTTAAATTTTTATTTTTATTCTCGATTTTCATTATAAATAAAGCGCCAGACACACACGTTCATACTTGCAGCCGTGGATAATATTTTGTTAATCATATATCAAATTTGTTATATTTTAAAAAAATATATTATTCTCTCTTTTAAAGTATTTTAAAAAGCAATAAATCTTTAATAATTTATTTCTAAAATTTACGGAATTGCGTTGAGATTAATATGTTACATTTTACAAAAATAGATTTACATTTAACAAATAAAGTTTAACGTCTTGCTGCAATCATTAAAGTTTCCGCCAATTCATCTCTTTTAAGTTGAGCAGGAACATTGTTTCTCCCATTTTCAATTACTTCATTGTTATCTTCTTCGATGTCTCCAATTTCAGCCAATATGTCGTCAGTCGCTTCGTCATCCAAATCAAGACATATGTTGTGCAGAACACAACAGGCAGCAATCATTAAAGATCCATATTTGACCTTTTGCAAATACAGATATTTTAATCTGCGACAACGACCCTTAAGTAAACAAAATCCTCTTTCAATGACAACTCGGTGTCTTGAGAGAATTGTATTAAAATTTCGTTGTGCCGCCGTCATGTTTCCGTAGTCTTTGTAAGGTACCATTAAATAGGATTCGAGACCATAGGCCGTGTCGCCGAGAATGTGAGAGTTATTCGGAAAATACCGTTCCTTGTTTTCCTCTATGGCTGCTTTAATGTCGCTCAAGCCCCAGACGCGAGCATCATGTACACTTCCACACATGCCGGTAAAAATATTTATAAACCTTAAATTTGCGTCGCAAATCGCTTGCAGCTGCAGTGAATGGAAGTTTTTACGACATACGTAACTGTCACCATTAATTGAGGGAGCACTTATCTCAATATGGGTTCCATCGATCGCTCCAATGACATTGGGAAATCCGGCAATTTCCTGAAATTCTGCTTGTACTCTTCTTAATGCAGGCCCTTGTGGCCACTGTATATAATCCTCAGACATTTCAAGTAATGCATGACAGATTTTTATCGTACTTCGCCAAGCAGTGTTGATTGACACCCCGAATCGATCTGCTACCGATCTGCAAGGAAATGCAAAAATAAATCTAAGTGACTGACCTATAGCTAATTGCCATCGTGAAGAAAAGACCGATTTAAGATCGGCTACAAGCCTGTATCAGTTTATTGTCAATAAGGAATGGAGACTTATTATCAATGCAAAAATAACAATTGGAAATAATATATTACGGATGATGATATAATCATTCCAAATTTTATTTGCATTAATAATTTTTTTTCCAATTTAATAAAAAAATCATTGATTTTCAAAAGAATTTTGTTTAGGTTTAGTAAGTTCTTTAGGTTTTCAGTTTTCCAGTTTAATAATAAATTGTCCGACTTTGATAAATATGAACCAGGAATCTAATTTCAGTCGAGAAAATAAAGATTTGTTTTTTTAGCCAAACAATTATTCTTAAACTAGTAAGGAAAAAACTCAAAAAACTCTCAATGCCGTCGAAAGTATTATGAAAAAACTATAAATTTTAGTTAAATTAAGCCGAAAGGTGAAAATAAAAAGTCCTGATTTTTAAAAAAAAATTATCTCCGACATTAATTACTCATACCACATTACTCCAAAACTTGAAAACTTGAAAATCCTGGCAAAACTAAATCCAAAAAATTAGAATCATCGTCCTTGAATTTCCTCTTAAAAACCAGATTTTGGGTGAAAATTTAACGAAAATCGAAAATAAAAAATCAACTTTTGTAAAAAAAATTCAGAAAATCTTTTTTCTAGTAAAATAGATGACTCTTATCCTGGCAAAACAAAATCCAAAAAATTAGAATCATCGTCCTTGAATTTCCTCTCAAAAACCAGATTTTGGGTGAAAATTTTACGAAAATCGAAAATAAAAAATCAAATTTTGTAAAAAAAAATCCTGAACATCCTTTCTCCAGTAAAAGATATTTCTCTCATGCTGGCGAAACTGTATCCAAAAAATTAGAATCATCCTCCTTGAATTTCCTCTCAAAAACCAGATTTTGGGTGAAAATTTTAGTAAAATCGAAAATAAAAAATCTAATTTTGCAAAAAAAAATTCAAAACATATTTTTTCTAGTAAAAGAGATTACTCGTATCCTGGCAAAACTGAACCCAAAAAATTAGAATCATTGTCCTTGAATTTCCTCTCGAAAACCAGATTTTGGGTGAAAATTTTAGGAAAATCGAAAATAAAAAATCAACTTTTGTAAAAAAAATTCAGAAAATCTTTTTTCTAGTAAAATAGATGACTCTTATCCTGGCAAAACTAAATCCAAAAAATTAGAATCATCGTCCTTGAATTTCCTCTCAAAAACCAGATTTTGGGTGAAAATTTTACGAAAATCGAAAATAAAAAATCTAATTTTGTAAAAAAAAATCCTGAACATCCTTTTTGCAGTAAAAGATATTTCTCTCATGCTGGCGAAACTAAATCCAAAAAATTAGAATCATCGTCCTTGAATTTCCTCTCAAAAACCAGATTTTGGGTGAAAATTTTACGAAAATCGAAAATAAAAAATCTAATTTTGTAAAAAAAAATCCTGAACATCCTTTTTCCAGTAAAAGATATTTCTCTCATGCTGGCGAAACTGAATCCAAAAAATTATAATCATCCTCCTTGAATTTCCTCTCAAAAACCAGATTTTGGGTGAAAATTTTAGGAAAATCGAAAATAAAAAATCAACTTTTGTAAAAAAATTCAGAAAATCCTTTTTCTAGTAAAAGAGATGACTCTTATCCTGGCGAAACTTAATCCAAAAAATTAGAATCATCCCTATTGAATTTTCTTAAAAAAATGAGATTTTTTTGCCAAGATTTGACGAAAATTAAAAAGAAATATCTGGATATTGCAACAAAGAATCGTCATTGAATTTTCCTTTATGGGTCATTTTTTCTAAAAGTTTTATATTAAATACATATTGAATCGACTAAACCCCCAATGAATTGTCGTCTGAAAATTCTCTGAAAAATAACAATTGGAAATTTACGTTTTGCAAACAGAATTGATTTTTGGGTTTCTCAAGTAGTCAAGTTTATTATTATATTTGAAAATGAAAATGTATTTATTTTATAGATTATAAAAAAATTATTAATCATACCTATAAACTTCTTGATTACAGAGTAGCCATACAGCTATAGACAATTTTTTTTCTGGAACGACCGTATCTTGTCCTGCATTTAATCCTCCAATTAAAGATGGGGCAAGATTTTCTAGCATTCTTGCAAATGTTGATCGCGTCATTCTAAAATGTGACTTAAAGTCTGCAAGATTGATAGAATTATTTAACTTTCAAGCATTACAATAATAAACATTAATTTTTTTGGTTAATCCTTATCTTTTTTTTAATATAAAAATAATCAAAATTTACTAAAACATTTGATCCTTTTTTTGTGTGAAAGAAATTTCTATGAAATAATTTATATCAACTTAAAAAACAAAATTTACTGAAGAAAATTTTTTTCTCTTTTCTGAAATAAGTTTGAAGCATTTTCCATGATGCAATTACATTATTCTTAAAAATTTTTAATTTGCCCATATCTCTGAGATTATCAATCATATTAGAAATTTTGAAAAATAAAAATGTATTACGAAAATGCGTCCCCTAAAAAGACTATTTGTTACAATTGCAATATTAGGTTTAAGTTTATTACTTACATTAGAAATGAAAAAAAAAATAATTTTTATAAAAAAATTTTTCTCCTTTAAGGTTTAACTGTAGAAAATTGCAAATTGATATAAAATAAAGATTCATTCGAAGAGAAAAATAAATGTCGAAATTCCAAAATTAGTTTATTTTTAAATTTAATGAGTAACATTTGACTTTAATAACACAAAATGTGCACCATTCACTGTCTTGAAGAATGCAAAAGTAACAAAAAAGTTGGAATTTTTACAACCTAAAATTATTTTTCAATTCAGTATGTACCCGCAGTGCTATCGGCTGAAAGAAATACCTAATTCCCTTTTTTTACATCTGCTCAAAGGTGTAAAATGAAACCAAAAATTATGAAAATCATGTACTTTTATTTGTAAACTTAATTTTCTGTATTGAATATATAAAAGTATTTTTATTTTGAGGTTATAAATACTTACCCGACAACGAATATCGTGGAATTACTTCCTCGAAATAACCTTTTATTTTCTCATGCGATTCTCTGAAGAACAAAACTTGCATGCATTTTTCTGCATCATTATTATCATCGGCCAAAATTATATTTACAATGGCCATAAGAACATTTGGATCCAACAATCCGAAATAAAAATTTTCCGGCATGTTTTTCAAAACAATTTAAAGCGCTGTTCATGCTCTGAGTTAACGGATTCACGCTCGGTCATTTGGGACCGAGCGTCGAGCCAGAGCACCAGGACTGACAAAACATAGTCAATTTAGAAAAAAAAAAAAATTACCACAACTTTTTAATTACATGTTACTAACAATTGCAGCCTGTATCACACGCATATCAGGCTCACCATGTTTTAGCCAATCGGAACAAATCATTATTTTATCAAACATTTTATAGATTGAGAACCCCTTCACTCTTTCAGAGCACTCCGAGCGTCAACGTCGAAAACACCCATGGTAAATGCTCCATTTAGATTCTCTTATAAATGGATAAATAAAAATTAGAGAATTTTGTATTTCGTAAAAAAGCACAGTATATTAAATGACAAGTAGGCAAATAATAATTTTGATGAAATATAAATTCGTCAAATTTAAGAGTAGAGTCTATTACAAATTTGACATTATTTAATTCGACATAATAATCTTTCGCACATTTCATTTTGAGATAAATCTCTGCAACTCTTTGCTTTTTTACCCGAAAATTTTTTCAAAACATAAATTATTATACTAAAAAGCACATGCCAAGCACAATTTTTTTTGATAAGTATAAACTTCAACACATAAAATGAGTTTTTTCCCCACAGTTCTCAGTATTTAAAAAAATGAATTTGATCAAAATTAACCACATGTCGCGCATAATATTTTTTTCAAAAATTATAAATTTACTAATCTAACTTCCTCGCCATATAAAATAAAAAATTAAATCTTTAATTTTATTAAAATAAAATGTACCTGAATAAATCGTCGAACTAAAATATTTTCCAAATTTATTACGTTTCTCTTCAAAAATTCAAAAATTCTTTATTTTCTTTTTGATTTTTGTATTTTATTTTTTTGTTATTTTTAAAATAACAAAGAATTATTTAATTTAGATGTATACTTTATTTTTTATACAAAAAAACTCGGAAAATGACATGACAAACATTTTGTTAAAGCAACCATTTTACTTTGTGAGAACTTTTGTAGACCCCGTAGAAATGCGTAGAATGAAGATGATAAAGGTTGAGTTACGTATTATTAAAGTTTTTGCTTAGAGTTGCAGACATTTATCTCAAAATGAAAAAACGAAAATTTATTAGGTCAAATTCACAAATGTTCTAACCTCTATTTATCCGATTTATAAGATAACCTAAATGTCATTTACCATATTTCTTATTCGTTATAAATGAGATGTGTTCTAATCATTATTTATCATAATTTCTTTATTTTCGAATTTAAATCTAACCTAAATATTAAAATCACTAATTGTTAATTAGTGTAAAAAAAATTACGTCAAATATGCATTTCAACTGATCTTCATAGCATCAAATTATTATTTAAAATAAATTTTACTTAATGGAATTTCAATAACTTATAATTTACATTATATCTAATTTTGGTTTAATCGAATAATTAGAACACATCTTATTTATAACGAATAAGAAATATAGTAAATGCTCCATTTAGATTCTCTTATAATTTGGATAAATAAAAATTAGAGAACTTTGTATTTCGTAAAAAAGCACATTATATTAAATGACAATTAGGCAAATAATAATTTTGATGAAATAGTAATTCGTCAAATTTAAGAGTAGAGTCTATTACAAATTTGACATTATTTAATTCGACATAATAATCTTTCGCACATTTCATTTTGAGTTAAATGTCTGCAACTCTTTGCTTTTTTACCCGAAAATTTTTAGTGTTTCAAAACATAAATTATTATGCTAAAAAGCACATGCCGAGCACAATTTTTTTTGATAAGTATAAACTTCAACACATAAAATGAGTTTTTTCCCCACAGTTCTCAGTATTTAAAAAAATGAATTTGATCAAAATTAACCACATGTCGCGCATAATATTTTTTTCAAAAATTATAAATTTACTAATCTAACTTCCTCGCCATATAAAATAAAAAATTAAATCTTTAATTTTATTAAAATAAAATGTACCTGAATAAATCGTCGAACTAAAATATTTTCCAAATTTATTACGTTTCTCTTCTACAAAATTATTTATTTTGTTTTTGCTTTTTTTAATTTATTTTTTTGTTATTTTCAAAATAACCACATGTCGGGCAAAATATTTTTTTTTCAAAAATTATAAATTTACTAATCTCACATATAAAATAATAAATTAAATTTTTAATTTTATTAAAATAAAATATACCTGAATAAATCGTCGAACTAAAATATTTTCCAAATTTATTACGTTTCTCTTCTAAAAAATTATTTATTTTTTTTTGCTTTTTTTAATTTATTTTTTTTGTTATTTTCAATATAACAAAGAATTAATTAATTTACAGGTATACTTAATTTTTTTTCCAAAAAAAACTGAGAAAATAACATGACAAACATTTTGTTCAAGCAACCATTTTACTTTGTGAGAACTTTTGTAGACCCCGTAGAATTGCGTAGAATGGAGATGATAAAGGTTGAGTTACGTATAATTAAAGTTTTTGCTTTGAGTTGCAGACATTTATCTCAAAATGAAAAAAACGAAAATTTATTAGGTCGAAATCACAAATTTTCTAACCTCTATTTATCCGATTTATAAGATAACCTAAATGTCATTTACCATATTTCTTATTCGTTATAAATGAGATGTGTTCTAATCATTAATTATCATAATTTCTTTATTTTCGAATTTAATTCTAACCTAAATATTAAAATCACTAATTGTAAATTAGAGTAAAAAAAATTACGTCAAATATGCATTTCAACTGATCTTCATAGCATCAAATTATTATTTAAAATAAATTTTACTTAATGGAATTTCAATAACTTATAATTTACATTGTATCTAATTTTGGTTTAATCGAATAATTAGAACACATCTTATTTATAACGAATAAGAAATCTAGTAAATGCTCCATTTAGATTCTCTTATAAATTGGATAAATAAAAATTAGAGAACTTTGTATTTCGTAAAAAAGCACATTATATTAAATGACAATTAGGCAAATAATAATTTTGATGATATAGAAATTCGTAAAATTTAAGAGTAGAGTCTATTACAAATTTGACATTATTTAATTCGACATAATAATCATTCGCACTTTTCATTTTGAGATAAATGTCTGCAACTCTTTGCTTTTTTACCCGAAAATTTTTAGTTTTTCAAAACATAAATTATTATGCTAAAAAGCACATGCCGAGCACAATTTTTTTTGATAAGTATAAACTTCAACACATAAAATGAGTTTTTTCCCCACAGTTCTCAGTATTTAAAAAAATGAATTTGATCAAAATTAACCACATGTCGCGCATAATATTTTTTTCAAAAATTATAAATTTACTAATCTAACTTCCTCGCCATATAAAATAATAAATTAAATCTTTAATTTTACTAAAATAAAATGTACCTGAATGAATCGTCGAACTAAAATATTTACCAAATTTATTACGTTTTCTTCTTCAAAATTCTTTATTTTGTTTTTGCTTTTTTTATTTTATTTTTTTGTTATTTTTAAAATAACAAAGAATTATTTAATTTAGATGTATACTTTATTTTTTATACAAAAAAACTCGGAAAATGACATGACAAACATTTTGTTAAAGCAACCATTTTACTTTGTGAGAACTTTTGTAGACCCCGTAGAAATGCGTAGAATGAAGATGATAAAGGTTGAGTTACGTATTATTAAAGTTTTTGCTTAGAGTTGCAGACATTTATCTCAAAATGAAAAAAACGAAAATTTATTAGGTCGAAATCACAAATTTTCTAACCTCTATTTATCCGATTTATAAGATAACCTAAATGTCATTTACCATATTTCTTATTCGTTATAAATGAGATGTGTTGTAATCATTATTTATCATAATTTCTTTATTTTCGAATTTAATTCTAACCTAAATATTAAAATCACTAATTTTAAATTAAAGTAAATAAAATTTCGTTGAATATGCATTTTAACTAATCTTCATAGCATGAAATTATTATTTAAAATAAATTTTACTTAATGGAATTTCAATAACTTATAATTTACATTATATTTAATTTTGGGTTAATCGAATAATTAGAACACATCTTATTTATAACGAATAAGAAATATAGTAAATGCTCCATTTAGATTCTCTTATAAATGGATAAATAAAAATTAGAGAATTTTGTATTTCGTAAAAAAGCACATTATATTAAATGACAATTAGGCAAATAATAATTTTGATGATATAGAAATTCGTAAAATTTAAGAGTAGAGTCTATTACAAATTTGACATTATTTAATTTGACATAATAATCATTCGCACTTTTCATTTTGAGATAAATGTCTGCAACTCTTTGCTTTTTTACCCGAAAATTTTTAGTTTTTCAAAACATAAATTATTATGCTAAAAAGCACATGCCGAGCACAATTTTTTTTGATAAGTATAAACTTCAACACATAAAATGAGTTTTTTCCCCACAGTTCTCAGTATTTAAAAAAATGAATTTGATCAAAATTAACCACATGTCGCGCACAATATTTTTTTCAAAAATCATAAATTTACTAATCTAACTTCCTCGACATATAAAATAATAAATTAAATCTTTAATTTTATTAAAATAAAATGTACCTGAATAAATCGTCGAACTAAAATATTTTCCAAATTTATTACGTTTCTCTTCAAAAATTCTTTATTTTCTTTTTGATTTTTGTATTTTATTTTTTTGTTATTTTTAAAATAACAAAGAATTATTTAATTTAGATGTATACTTTATTTTTTATACAAAAAAACTCGGAAAATGACATGACAAAGATTTTGTTAAAGCAACCATTTTACTTTGTGAGAACTTTTGTAGACCCCGTAGAATTGCGTAGAATGGAGATAGTAAAGGCTGAATTACAATACTTTCATAAGACGCTTATAAGGGTGCACTCACATCTGGATAAATAGAGACATTACCTATGTAGAATATAATATACTATATAGGAGTGAGAGAAATAAAAGAATATTCTTATTTATCTAACTCTTATACATTACAT